TGTTGCCCAGATTGGTCTTGAATTCCTGGGCTCAAGTGATCCTCCAGCCTCAGCCTCCCAAAGTGCTGGGATTACAGGCATGAGCCACTGTGCCCAGCTGGCCAAATGTTTTATTAAGTCTACTAATAACAATGAGAAATCATATTTCCGATTTTGGTAAAACCATTTAAGAACATAAATACTCATGATTTAATTTTTAAAAACCCACATTAAAGTGATGTTTTTAGAAACAAATAGTCAAACTTAGGATCACAGAAAATTGGAGCAAGGTATGTTTGGGTAGCATTTAGTTTACTCATTCACAAATGAGGAACTAGTGGCCTATAGGTGTTAAGTGGCTTGCTTATGGCCATACAGCAATATCCTAGGTCAAGTAAACTCATAGCTTTATAAGAGCTCTTATCAAAGTTCAGCATACTATTGTAGCACGGTACCAAAAAAAAAGAAGGGGTTAGAAGGCAGTAGTGACTGACAAAATAGCAAAGTGTTTAATAAGATAGTCATATGCTTTTGTTCTGTTGATATTCCTTCATTAACACAGACAAAGTAGTAAAGGAAATCAAATAGCTAGTCTTTGAAATCCCAAATTCAGTTATCATTATAAACTAAAACGTAAGTGTCTACCTGTGTTATATCTTATTATTCTTTTGCTTTAATAAATAAAGCCACGCTGTTATCTTGGATGTAGCAGGCAAAGCTGTTGCTACCAGAAGAAAATATTTTCCAAATGTTGAGTATGTCTGCAAGCTGGACTGTATCCCATAAAGGACTATGCTGGGCCTGGGGCTGATGTCAACCAAGACCTTTCCTGATAGGTCAGAGAGTACATGATGATAAATTAATTTCATTTCCATGAGGGAGAAGTAATGAGAAATAAATCCCAGAAAATTAAAACACTGAACATCAAATTTTGCTTGGGTATAAGTAATTGCATTCTGGACTTCTACTTCCTTCATCTATATTTCATTTTTTCCCCTTAATCAATGAAAATCACCCAGAGGTTACTTAGAAAAAAATTCATGTGCGAAAAACAAAAACAAAAAAAAAGAAAAAATTCATGTAATAATTTTTTACTCATTCACTCTGACTTACATTAGAACAAATATAAGTTTCTGACATTTAAAAGGCCTTTAGGGAACAGCTACTTAGACAACCGTTTCTATTCCTGTGCCCCTTATCTCCTTCTTGCCGCTGTTTGTAGGTCCTGTGTTTTTCCCTTCCTCTACTTCCTGTTGCTGCCTGGGAAGGCGTCATAACTTCCATACCATCTGGCTTTCTCATCTTACCCCAGAACCAACCTCAGAAGTACCATGTATTGCTACACAGACTGTGGACTACCAAATGAATGACCAGCTCTGGAGCTATGGAAGGTGGCAGGCTTAACCAACCTAGAATAGATTCTGGAGGGCAGGAGAGGAGTGGTGTGAAAGATTCACATACGCCCATAAATTGCTTTTATCCCACTTAGTTTAACTGCCACCATTTCTAGCCCCCTAATCTATCTTCTCACCCTAGTTTCTGTCATGAAGTATCTAAGACAGCCTGAGTCTAGTTTTCTTCTGATATGTAGGTAACCCAAAGACTTACTGTATCATGTTCTATGTAATAATGGTCAGGAAGAGGAGAAACCTTGGTCATAACTAACAGATGGTGAAAAGAAAAATGGAAGCAGGTGGGCCAATCCCTTGGAAGAGAATAAAAGATGTGACTAGGCCTCCGAAGTCATTCTTGGGGGTTGGGCTGTAAGCACTATAGTCCTCACCTCTCTAGGATCCTCATCCTCTCTACTCTCTTTGCCACGCCAGTGCTTCCTTGGGTTACAAAGTCACCACTACAGTCTTGTAGCTAGACATGCCCCTTGTCACAGAGAGGGGGAAAGGCCCTCATGGTGATAACGGTTTCAGATTCATTATAGTTCTCTGGGCTGTCCTGATTACCTAGTCATTAAAAAATAAGATTTTTAAGGGAAGATACAACCTAATCTTTAAATTTTTATCTGTCAAACATAACTCTTTTATAAATCAGGTATTTTTTTTTTTTTTTTTTTGAGACAGAGTGTCGCTCTTGTTACCCAGGCTGGAGTGCAATGGCGCGATCTCGGCTCACCGCAACCTCCACCTCCTGGGTTCAGGCAATTCTCCTGCCTCAGCCTCCTGAGTAGCTGGGATTACAGGCATGCGCCACCATGCCCAGCTAATTTTTTGTATTTTTAGTAGAGATGGGGTTTCACCACGTTGACCAGGATGGTCTCGATCTCTCGACCTCGTGATCCACCCGCCTCGGCCTCCCAAAGTCCTGGGATTACAGGCTTGAGCCACCGCGCCCGGCCCTATAAATCAGGTATTTTTGAAATGATGTTACAGTTATTAACTTTTTTTTTTTTGAGACGTTGTCTTACTTTGTTGCCCACACTTGTGTGCCAGTTACAAGATGTTGGCTCACTACAATCTCTGCCTCCCACGTTCAAGCGATCTTCCCACCTCAGCTTCCCGGATAGTTGGGACTACAGGCGTGTGCCACCACACCTGGCTAATTTTTGTAATTTTAGTAGAGACGGGATCTTGCCATGTTGGCTAGGTTGATCTTGAACTCCGGACCTCAGGTGATCCACCTGCCTCAGCCTTGCAAAGTTAATAACTTTTTAGTGTTGCTTCTATTATTCTTGCACAAATCCTTTTCATTCTGTGAATTTTAACTACCTCAAATGGAAACTAGAAGTATTACTGAGAAATAGGATCTTAAACTAATAAATCAGAGAAGTTTAATCTCAAATTACATATAGGTACAACGTACTTGTATTGGCAACATATTCCAAATTTGGTAATCTTTGATAACGATTTTTTTTTTTTTTTTTGAGATGGGGTCTTGCATTGTTGCTCGAGCTGGAGTGCAATGGCACAATCTCAGCTCACTGCAACCTCCCTCCCGGTTCAAGAGATTTTCCTGCCTCAGCCTCCCAAGTAGCTGGGATTACAGGTACCCACCACCACACCCAGCTAATTTTTCTATCTTTTTTTTTTTTGTATTTTTAGTAGAGACGGAGTTTCACTATGTTGGTCAGGCTGGTCTTGAACTCCTGACCTCGTGATCTACCTGCCTCGGCCTCCCAAAGCACTGGGATTACAGGCGTCAGCCACCGTGTCTGGCTGATAATGATATTATCTAAAATCAGTAATATAAGCACAAGATTATTTATCCAGAGGGGTTGCCCACTCTATGTAATAACCCAAAATGTAAGTGTGTAGGGAGATACATGTCTAAAGCAACAGACTAGACAATCTATCCAGTCTGAACAAAGATAGAAGACTTTCTGTCATTAGAGTTGTTCTCTAATATGGACTGGGATGCTTCAAACTGGGTCAAATTATAGCCTGAATGAGTAATTTCTCAAGATTATCTATCTCTGTCTTCTCTGTCCATCCCCACTCACCCAATAATATCTGATCACTATCTGACCTCTTTTTTTTTTTTTTTTTTGAGACGGAGTTTCGCTCTTGTTGCCCAGGCTGGAGTGCAATGGCGCGATCTCGGCTCACCGCAACCTCCGCCTCCTGGGTTCAAGCAATTCTCCTGCCTCAACCTCCTGAGTAGCTGGGATTACAGGCACGCACCACCATGCCCAGCTAATTTTTTGTATTATTATTATTATTTTTTTTTAGTAGAGACGGGGTTTCACCATGTTGACCAGGATGGTCTCGATCTCTTGACCTCGTGATCCACCCGCCTCGGCCTCCCAAAGTGCTGGGATTATAGGCGTGAGCCACCGCGCCCGGCCTATCTGACCTCTTAAGTAGATTTTTTTTTTTTTTTTTTAAGACAAGAGTCTTGCTCTGTCACCCAGGCTGGTGTGATCTCAACTCACTGCCTCCCCTACCTCCTGGGTTCAAGCGATTCTCATGCCTCAGCCTCCTGAGTAGCTGGGATTACAGATGTGCACCATCACCCAGCTAATTTTTATATTTTTAGTACAGATGAGGTTTTATCATGTTGGTCAGGCTGGTCTCGAGCTCCTGGCCTGAAGAGATCCACCTGTCTTGGCCTCCCACGTGCTGGGATTATAGGCAGCCACTGTACCCAGCCAGATGTTTTTCTAAGTGACTGGGTCTCATGTGGTCCAGGCTGGAGTGCAGTGGCTATCCACAGACCCAATCATAGTGTGCTGCAGTCCTGAACTCCTGGTCTTAAGCAATCCTTCCACCTCAGCCTCCCAAGTAGCTGGGACTGCAGGTACATACCACCATTTCCAGCTCAAATAGTTGCTTTTATGGGGAGAACATTTCAGCTTCCCTGGAAATTATATTTCTCAGTATATGGTTTATCAATCTCTGTTCAGTGTACAGAGTATGAGTCAGTTCCTCCATATTCAGTCACCTCTGTTTAGTCTCTGAACCTTCAGAGTCACCTCTAATTAAATAGTTTCTAGATGTGAAAAACATCTCATTGCCTTACTTGACTAGGAAAAAAAATTGTGAAAAACAGTTTCTAGGCCAGGCACGGTGGTTCTGGCCTGTAATCCCAGCACTTTGGGAGGCCGAGGAGGACAGGTCACTTGAGGTCAGGCGTTCAAGACCAGCCTGGCCAACATAGTGAAACCTTGTCTCTACTAAAAATACAAAAAGATTAGCCAGGTGTGGTGGTGGGTGCCTGAAGTCCCAGCTACTTAGGAGGGTGAGGCACAAGAATCGCTTGACCTGGGAGGCAGAGGTTGAAGGGAAACAAGATCGCACCACTGCACTCCAGCCTGGGGCATAGAGCAAGACCCAGTTTCAAAAACAAAACAAAAGAGTTTCCAGATATATCCTGGGGGACATTAAGTGACCTATTCTCCTGAGATACTATTTGTTTACTCTCCCTAAATGCAGTATTTGGTAATAACCATGCCACAGGTTGGCCTTTTGCTTTCAGAAAACATTGAATAGGTTAGTCCAAAATTTGCATACTTATGACATGAAAGAAAAAACACACATAAAGTCATCAGATTTGCATACCTCAGTGCCTACCTAAAGGTGCTGTCTGGTTTGAGCTGCACATCATACAGTAATTTCTGCTCATTTTTCCTTTTGCACATAATGAATCAATAAAAGTCTTCACCATAAAGGAATGCACCAAGATGAACTGTGGGTTCTGGCTACTGCTGTATCTGGTAGGAAAAAAAAAAAAAAAAAAACAAAAAAACACATCAAAAGAAGCAAAGTACAAAGAAGTATCTTTTTATTGCTAAATAAGGCAAAATGTCAGTGGTTTATATGCTAACATTCTGAGTGCAATAAGAAGGCACAGCAAGATACCTTTTGCTTATGCAAATAACTGCTCTACTTTCATTTTATTTCTGAGACCCTAGCAACTTTTTGACCCGGAATGATGCAAAACAAGCATAAGAAATACATAAAATTCTAGTTGAAAGGAGTATCATAGATCATTTTGTCTCTCCTAAGTAGTACATTTTACATATAGTTGCCCAGAAAGATTTCTCCAAAGAAATTATATTAGTTAACAATAGGTGAAAAAACTTAAACTAACACCAGCTCTTCTGAGTCCTACATGTCAGAGACTTACCATCAAAATATTTAATCGGTAATCTTTTCGCAGAATGCATTTTTCAAATAATGTTATTAAAACTTCATGCTTAAAAACAGTAGTCATTTATTAATATTAGTGGCACAGGATATACTATTAAGTGGCTACAAAGAAATAAATGTTTGATTCCTTTTACCTTAACTATAATAAAGCATTCTGCGTGAATACCTAAAAATGTGCCTACATTTTAAACAAAGAAACCTTGGTTGGTATGTAAAAATCAGATATGGATATATAAGGATCAGAAGGAAATTTAAGATAGTTTGTTGGAAGCTTGTGGGTCAATTATATTAACATACAAGGAATGCTTTTTTCATTGAATATATTGTGGATTTCATGAAACTGTTTTCAGGTTAGTGGGTGGAAATGTTTCTTTTTTTAAGAGATAGGGTCGGCTGGGCACAGCAGCTCACACCTGTAATCCTAGCACTTTGGGAGGCTGAGTTGGGTGGATCATGAGGTCAGGAGATCAAGCCCATTCTGGCTAACATGGTGAAACCCCATCTCTACTAAAATAAAAAAAATTAGCAGGGCACGGTGGCACGTGCCTGTAGTCCCAACTACTTGGGAGGCTGAGGCAGGGAATCACTGGAACCCAGGAGGAGGTTGTTGCAGTGAGCTGAGATTGTGCCACTGCACTCCAGCCTGGCAACAGAATGAAACTCAGTCTCAAAAAATAAAAAATAAAAAGAGGTGGGGTCTTGCTATGTTGCCCAGGCTGGTCTTGAACTCCTAGGCTCAAATGATCTCGCCTCAGCCTCTCAAAGTGCTGGGATTATAGGTATAAGCCACCACACCTGACCAAGAAGAGATTATTAGCCTTGCTTTACAAAATAATATTCGTAGCATAGGTTTCCTATAAGGGTTAGAATTTGAAGGAACTTGAATAAGGGGACTGTCTGGAGAAGAAAAATGAGAACTTTTTTTTTTTTTTTTTTTTTTTTTTTTTAAGATGGGGTTTCACCATGTTGGTCAGGCTGATCTTGAATTCCCGACCTCAGGTGATCCGCCCGCCTTGGCCTCCAAAGTGCTTGGATTACAGGCATGAGCCAATGCGCCTGGCCCTGAGAACTAATTCTAAAAATAAGGGAATAGAAGAATAAGCAAAAGTGTAAGGGGTAAATGTAGGAGAAGGAAAGAAAAAGGTAAGCTTCATTCTTTTTTTTTTTTTTTTTTTTTGAGACGGAGTTTCACTCTTGTTACCCAGGCTGGAGTGCAATGGCGCGATCTCGGCTCACGGCAACCTCCGCCTCCTGGGCTCAGGCAATTCTCCTGCCTCAGCCTCCTGAGTAGCTCGGATTATAGGCACGAGCCACCATGCCCAGCTAATTTTCTGTATTTTTAGTAGAGACGGGGTTTCACCGTGTTGACCAGGATGGTCTCGATCTCTTGACCTCGTGATCCACCTGCCTCGGCCTCCCAAAGTGCTGGGATTACAGGCTTGAGCCACCGCGCCCGGCCGTAAGCTTCATTCTTAATAAAAGAGAGGGAAATGGAACAGGAAGGAAAAAGCAAGGACAAGGATATAGTCGGGATCACATAATTGGCCCTTGTTGGGCCTTGATTGTTTTTTTTTCCAGAGCCTGGCAAACAGGATATTCTCAAAGAATATTAGTTGAATAAATAATACTGATGAGTCAAAGGGTTCAGGACTCAAAAGAATTGGGGACATGGTTAAAGCACTACATGAAAAACTCTTTAAAACCAAATTTAGGGCTAATTAGGCGGGAGAGATCATGGGGTTAGGGAAGAACAGGAGAATGTTTAAGAAGCACTTGGAGTAAATGTAACATATTTACTTTTTATTTATTTATTTCTCTCCTCATGAACTATCCTCAGTCAACAATGTCAGACATTTACTTCTCCTCTTGCATTCCGATCTAAGTGTTGCATTATCAGAATCGATATCATGTGCATTCTGGTGTGACAACACAAGCTGAGATTTTCCCATTGCTCTTCAGTGAATGCTAAATAACCTGATCTCTTAATTTTCTTTCTGCATGCTCCTGGTAGCTTGGTCTCTGGAATCCCTCTGGTGTCGGCCAATGCTGGTAGTAGTTTTGTATAGTTGAGCTGGTCTCTGCAGCATGATAATGCTGCGGAAACAAGCTGCGGGAATGCTGCTGCTGTTATTTTTGAGGAATCAGCATGATGGGCTGCATCGGCATAAGAAAATCACTTGGGCCCGACTGCTCTCTCTCAAATGACTTCTATGCCTCTCTGAACTTGGGTATCTCATCTATTACCTTAGGGATTAAGATTAGCATAGAATCAAAATACTAAAGAAAATTGTTTATTATGAACACCATAGTCATCTGGGTTTCTTTTGGGACTGATGAATCTGAGCTATCTATCAATGGTTGTGCAGTTCCACTAACCTTAGTGAAAAGGAACCTGATGAGAGAATAGTGGCACCATCTATACTCTTGCCATTTTAGATACATAAATAGCAATGTCAATTCAAGAGTAGCAGACTTGCAGCCAGGTACAGTGGCTCACACCTGTAATTCCAGCACTTTGGGAGGCTGAGGCGAGTGGATCATCTGAGGTCAGGAGTTTGAGAACAGACTGATCAACATGGTGAAACCCCGTCTCTACTAAAAATACAAAAACTAGCCACGCGTGGTGGCAGGTGCCTGTAGTCACAGCTACTCAGGAGGCTGAGGCAGGAGAGTCGCTTGAACCCAGGAGGTAGAGGTTGCAGTGAGTCGAGATCGTGCCACCACTGCACTCCAGCCTGGGCAACAAGAGCAAAACTCTGTCTTAAAAAAAAAGTTAGGCCGGGTGCAGTGGCTCAAGCCTGTAATCCCAGCGCTTTGGGAGGCCGAGGTGGGCGGATCACAAGGTCAAGAGACCGAGACCATCTTGGCCAACATGGTGAAACCCCGTCTCTACTAAAAACACACAAAAAAATGAGCTGGGTGCGGTGGCATGTGCCTGTAGTCCCAGCTACCTGGGAGTCTGAGGCAGGAGAATTGCTTGAACCCGGAGGCGGAGGTTGCAGTGAGCTGAGATTATGCCACTGCATTCCAGCCTGGCACCTGGTGAGAGCGAGACTCTGTCTCAAAAAAAAAAAAAAAAGTTGTTATGATGTATTAAAAAATTATATTATTCTTATTTTCTGAAATATTTCAATTCTCTGCTGGATCAATCTACAAATGTAAAATCTGTGGATACGGAGAACCGACTGCATATCATAAGCATTTACTGTGTCATTAAAATTAAAATTTGTGGAAACTTTACTTTTGAAGGCATGTAGTCTCTATTTAACCATTCACTGCTACCCTGAGACAGTTAAATATAGTAATAATTGTGAAAAACTGAGAATACTGCAACATTTTGACATCATCTCTTTGCATCTGATTATTTCCTTACTATAAATTCTTAGTAGTACTTCAACATTTTTAAGTATTTTTCTACATATTTGTACATTTCTTGAAGGATATCAGTGTAACAGAAATAAAAAAGAACACGAGTTTCTGGCCGGGTATGGTGGCTCATGCTTGTAATCTCAACACTTTGAGAGGCTAAGGCAGGCGGATCACTTGAGGTCAGGAGCTTGAGACCAGCCTGGACAACATGTTGAAACCCTGTCTCTACTAAAATACAAACATTAGCCAAGTGTGGTGGTGTACGCCTGTAATCCCAGTTACTCAGGATGCTGAGGCAGAAGAATTGCTTGAACCCAGGAGCTAGAGGTTGCAGTGAGCCAAGATGGTACCACTGTACTCAAGCCTGGATGTGAGACTCCCTCTCAAAAAAAAAAAAAAAAAGTCTCATCAAACCCTCTCAAAGTGAGTAACATTATAAAAACGAACTTGGGTCGGGTACAGTGGTTCATACCTGTAATCCCAGCACTTTGGAAGGCCAAGGCAGGTAGACTACCTGAGTCCAGGGGTTTGAGACCAGCCCAAGTCCAGAGGTTTGAGACCAGCCTGAGCAACTGGTGAACCCCATTCCTATAAAAAAAAACAAATAAAAAAGCAGCTGGGTGTGGTGGTGTATGCCTATAGTCCCAGCTACTTGGGAGGCTGAAGTGGGAGATCACCTCAGCCTGGGAAGTCAAGGCTGCAGCGAGCCATGATCATACCATTGCACTCTAGCCTGGGCAACCAGAGTGAGATCCCATCTGAAAAAAAAAAAACAAAAAACAAAAACTGGTTGTTTTAATTTGCACTTATTTAATTACTAGTGAGGTGGAACATCTTTTAACATGTAAACAGCTATTTCAGAATGTGTGGCAATACTATGTTACTTGGAAAATGATTAAAGGAAGGTGCTAATCAGCTGCCTAAAGGATAGTAGAGTTTTCTCAAACTACATATGTAGGTGGGAAGGAAATGAAGAAACGAGAGCTTCTCTACTGGGCAAAATCAATTCTTTAAAATTTCCTACTTACATTTGATTAAATATATGGGGAAAGAAAAGTCGCCAAAGCTGACAG